ATATTATTTTTTTCTTATTTAAACCATAAAGCCAATTAGCAGTTGAGTAAAAATAATTTTTTGAAAGCTAGCGATAGACAAAATCAGCCTTTCTTTCCTCATAGGAAGAACAAGAGACACTTACTGGTGCCAGGTAATCGAATCTACTACCTCTCCACCAGTCTGCAGGAAGCTGGAACAAAAATGCCACTATGGTTATCATGTAGTCCTCCTACATATGCACAATAGTTGCTCAAGGTTTGATTTCCCAGAAATAACTGGTTATTTGTTAGGCTCAAACACAAAGTTCCAGATTCTCATAATAGATTTTGTTATCAATGCCATTTATCCTTGTACCCTTGGTCATCTGAGCCAATGAGTCTGCTTTTGGCAAACCACATAGTCAGGTGGCCAGCTGTTTAATAACATGTGGGCTGCTGTGGATTCTCCACCAGAGAGGAACATTTATTTTTAAGAAAAATGGTTGTGCCAGGGGTGGTGGAGCACACATGTAATCCCAGCACTCCGGGGGCTAAGGCAGGAGGATCACAGAGAGTTTGATGCAAGTCTGGGATACATAGTTCAAAGCCAGAATGAACCACATATTGAGACCCTCTGACACCCCAGAAGGAAGGAAGGAAGGAAGGAAGGAAGGAAGGAAGGAAGGAAGAAAAAACCAGTCCTGCGTCCTCTAGTTCTTACCTCTGCAGCATCTTAACCGTCTTTCCTCGAGGCTGACCAACATCCGGGCCATAGAGTTTCGCATTTTTGAAAGAGGAATTTTGTAGAAGTTTATGCAATTCAATGAAATCTTTTCCTAACTGCAATCCATCAATGAAAATACCAGCCTTCTTCCTGAAACTGTTAGGTTCTGAAAGACAGTAATTCTCCTCCTAATCACTTACCTAGCCTTTTTATATAAAAGCAAACATACGACAAACATACGACAGCATATAAGCATAACAAAACATTTTCTGAATTACAAAATCATAGAACTCAAAGTGAAGAAAAGTTAAACCCTTGGTTACAAAGGAGATATACCAGAAAAATAAAAATTTTAATTATATAACTGAGGCTGATTGGGTATTAAACAATTTGAAGTTAATAATGAGGACATTAAACCAACATATATTTTTAAAATAGTCTCCATTCAGTTGTTCTATTTTGTTTGTGATACTGGGAATTGAACCCAGGGCTCTTGCACTGAGTTATATCCCCATCCCTTTTTAATTTTTGATTTTGAGGCAGGCTACATCTCCAGCCTCACCCCTCCCTTTTTCACTTTAGAGATGGCTTTGCTAAATTACTAAGATGTTCAGGGTGGGCTCAAACTTTTTTTTTTTTCCCGGTACTGAGGATCAAACTCAGGACCTTGTGCTTATGAGGCAGGCGTGGTGCCACTGGGCTAAATCCCTGGCCCAAGGCTGGGCTCAAACTTTTTTTTTTGGTACCGGTACCGGGGATCAAACTCAGGACCTTATGCTTGCAAGGCAGGTGCAGGAAACATTGAGCTAAATCCCTGGCCCCGGGCTCAAACTTTTGATCTTGCTGCCTCAGCCTGACAGAGTGCTGGGATTACAAGTGTGTGCTACCACACTTGGTTATATTTAATAATTTAATTTGCTTTTTTAAAAAAGGCTGAGTAGAGTCAAGATGTTTAATGCTCAGAACAGTAACTGGCATATAGCATGTGCTCATCCCATCACTACATTTCATTTTCCATTTTATATTGTTTCATTGGCCAATATAGCACTATAAACACATTTTGAATGTGGAAAGTCATTAATATGTAGATAAAATTTATAAGTTCCTTGCCAAAAAAAAGTAAGGAAAGAGTTCGGCCTAAGCAAGATTCTACATTGGCAACTTCTGGATAGCTCAAGCATATAATTAAGGTTGGGATGGAGTTGCTGAGATTGACTGAGAGTTACAAACAAGAAAAGGAAAAGAAGAGCAAAAGCAACTGCGTGATTCACATTTGCTGAGTCCAGCCTGCCAAACATAATAGATTTAGGAGACTCTGAGAATCTCAAGGGAACCTGGGACCTGGGGAGGTTGCTGACTGCAATAGTTTTTCCCAGCTCAACTATAACTTAAATAGGGATTAACAATAGGTCCCAGAATATACTAAGGAGTTTTCTCCCATAAGCAGTTCCAAAAGTTATATTGTTGAGCACTTCTGAGGATATGCCCAGCCTGAAGTATATTTGCTGATGTTCAAAATAATCCCATAAATAGAAACAAGTAATGCCAGCAGGGAATCTCATTAACAAAGTGTTCCCAGGGTACCTACCATTGCCTAGTTCCCAAGAAATATTATAGCCCTTGGAAGAGCAGTAGTCCAGGAGCAACTGGGCGTTAGAACTGTCCCACTGTGAATCTGCCGTTCTCAGCAACTCGTTCAGACCAAAGATCAAGTTCAGTCCTGAGCAGTTTGCAAAAGAGTACAGCATATCCACTGAGCTTCCTGCAAGAAACATGTCACATTCAATGTTAGGTGGGTATCAGTGCAGCTTGGCTCTGGGTTGGCTCTTCATTGTGAGTTACTATTTCTGTTGTTAAATCAAAGGAATTCCAGGCCTAATGAGTGACCATAAGCATGTCTAAGTGACAACAAAATTGGACGGCTAAATTAAAGAAAAAAATAATCCCAGACTTCATCTGCTTCAGCTGTTGGGGATCCCATGGAAGGTTTCAGAAATTCTGATCCAACGCTCAGGTTTTGTTCAAGTGACCACAGGATTTTGGATTTAGCAAATAAAGGTACAGGACACCTAGTTAAATCTGAACTTCAGATATGTCATGAGCAATTTTTAGTGTATGTCCTATGCCAGGGTTGAAAAACACTGTTAAAAAAGAAACAAATTATTGTTATCTATCTGAAATTCAATTCTAAGCAGGCCCCTCTATTTACAGGGCACTGCAGGATCTTTTAAGTTTGCAACGGGAAAACATCTGCTGGATAGGACAAGAACTATGCTGTCGGGTTGTTTCGACCCAGCACTTTAATAATCAAACTCAGGCATGTCTCATGGCCTAGGTATGCTACAAAAAAAAAAATTACAGAGGCACTAAGAGTCTGGGAAATTCTGTACTCTGCTTTTTAAACCATTAGCTCATCTATAATTATTTTTTGAGAGTGGCAACAATATAATTCTAAGTATTGTCTTTAGATCAATTATCATATGCATAATAAGTACTTGTGATTTGCACAGATATTTTATAGTCATTTGTTAAACAGGAATTTGCTCTTGAATTCTCTTAGTTTAGTCTCAGGGAAACTTACATAATCTCTTCTCTGCAAACGTGACTTTGCTTTTGTTTTGCTTCTCAGTCTGCAGCCTGGATCCCTTGGATGATCCTGCCATGAAACTCGGTTTAAAATGGCAAAGGGCAGCCAGGGAGGAAGACTCTGGTGAGCTGCTGAGGGTGCTGTGATGTTTATTGTATCCCCTGCTGCCCTAGACCTGCTGCCAGTCATCAGCAGTGACAGACATTCGGATCCAGAAAGTTCCAGGGCTCTGTGTTCCCGGGTTCTACTGGATCGTGGAGTCACAGGTGGTGACTCCATGAGGCCTTCAGGACACTGAGCCCACTCCAAGCCTCTACCCCCTTCTCCCCATGAGGAAACGGAGATGTGAACAAGGCAAATGCTCCATCTGATACCACATGTTGGCAGTGCCATCTTTGGTGGCAGTGCCAACACTAGGGCTTGTTACATGTACTCTGCTGTAATGATACTGCTGGCAGACATGCTGCAAAGCCATGCTGTGCCCTGGCCCAGGCCACAGTTTGCACCCTAAGTGGTCTGCAGGCTGTGTTACAGCGAGGTGGTGGGGCCTTTGGTGCCGGGCCTGTCTGGAAGTCTTCAGGCCACCTTGAAGGGGACTGTGGGATCCCAGGCCTCCCTCCCTCTCTCATGCTCCTGGCCATTAGGCAGACAGTTTCCCTGTGCCACACTCTCCCTACATTGCCACCCAGCACCCCCACAGAGGGTGAACAAAAATGTGTCCACTGTCCAGAACTTCTAAAGCCAGGGCCAAAATGAACCTCTTCTCTCTGTAAGTTAATTATCTCAGGTATTGTCACAGTGACAGAGGCTGACACATGCAGGCAGGAATTATGACCCTGAGCCCGGGGTCCAGCTCTCTCACTTACTGTCAGAGGCAATATCCTCATTCATAAGGTTGAGTGAAATAAATCAGATACACATGCTTAAATATTGCATGATTTCTTTTATGAGAAACCCCAAATATAAACAAAAAGCAAAATAAAAGATAATAGGAAATAAGGAGATCTTTTTCAACTGGAAAGGGGAACAAGAGATCGAGGGGAGGGGAAAGAGATGGGAAACAATGGAAATGGAGCTTTTGTAAATGGGAAGGGGACCAAGAGTTGGAAGGAGCAGGAAGGACAGGAGAGGTAGGAGACAGAAAAAGAATAAAGATGTGTTATGTCCATGTACCAACTTCCCACAATAAATGTAATAATTATGTGCTACAAACATGTACCAACATCTGGGCATGGTGCCACCTGCCTGTAATCCCAGCACTCAGGAGGCTGAGGCAGGAGGATCGCTGTGAATTTGAGCAAGGCCAGCCTGAACTGCACAGAAACAGTTCTGTTTCTCAAAACAAAAAACCCAAAAACTTCTAACATGTACTGATAAAAATGCTTTTCAAATATCTTTATCCCACAGGACCCCCAGCTATGGACCTACAGTGTCACTTTGTCCCTACCCCACGACACCAAGATTGAGATAACACAGGTGAAAACTGCTAGTAAACCATTAAAAAAAAAGATGTAAAGCACTGTTGGCTCATTACATATGATTAGTGTAATAAGGGAGTCCTCCTTCCTGTGGTCACACCTGGAATTACGTCCGAAACATTGCTTCTCTTTCCTGCTCAAACAGGTTCCCAGTGCAGTCTGAATTCTCATGATTAATGTTTTGTCATCTCCTGCTGAGGTACAACACACCACCCAGGAGGACTTGCATTAGGAAACTCACCTGCACAGTCTAGGACACCCTTTTACAGGCACAATCAATACATCCTTGCCACACCAGATTTTTGCTGTCTCCTCCACTGTGTACTGACTCTCAGTCACCCAGCATCATCAACCTCAGCCAGTGTGTGGAAACACCTACTGGCTTCTAAGGTATTTGTCACTATGATGACCAGGCTCCCAGACTAAGCCCAGTAGATTTCTATCTATGCTTCCATGACATGCAGAGTAAAAGAGAGCATTTCAAACCAGAGATCAAAGGTTTCCTGATGCAAATAAAGCACATGAATTTGTGGTACATTTTAGCATTGATAACAGGTGGTAGAGTTGCATTAACCCAACTGTGTAGTTAGCCAAGGAAAGCCTTCCCCTAGGAACTATGAAGGTCCAAGTCTCAGAGCAGGAAAGATTGGAAGCTACCATCTTGGTTATAGAAAGATTATGTGAATCAGCATACTTTGTATTTATTTATTTATTTGTAATTGAAGCTAAACTGGTACAATGTTTAATGTGACCAAGAAAACAAAATTGGGAAGTCATTGATAGGTCTTCTCCTAGTGGGTGTATATTCCAGTGATTTATTACAAATGAGACCCATGGATCTTTTGTCTTCTCTTTACAGTAATCTGAGATGACCCCATCTTAGAACAAATTCCATTTACAATAGAATTGTAATCATTTAATTGAATCAAATCCACTGGTTAGGTTTAATGTTGACCTTATGGGGAAATTTGATTCAGTTCTTTTCCAATTAGGTTTGTGACCAGAGTCATGGAAAGGATTCAGTTCTTGAACTGAGGTACCACTGTATTCTTATTAAAATGTCAGAGTAGTTTCCTCTCCTCTAAAGAATATTAAAAAATAGTTTAGAGAACTACATTAGCTATTAGCACATAAGCTATTTTCCGATTTCTTATGTATATTTTTTATACCTTAGAAAAATACATATACACTGGGCCGGAAATTTAGCTCAGTGGTGCTGCCGCCTGCCTCAAAAGCGCAAGGTCCTGACTCTGACCCCCAGTACCAAATAAATAAATAAAATAAAAATAAAAAGGGCTGAGGATGTAGCTCAGTGGTAGAGAACCCCTGGGTCCAACTCTTCGTATTGAAAAATAAATAAAATTTTTAAAAAAGAAAAAATTTTTTTTAAATACGTATACACTAAAAATCCCATCTCATACACTGAAATCTAGGTAGTGTGCTACAAATCTCACAAAGATAAATAATTTATTTTAAATAATGTATAGGCACACCTTGGAGATATTGCAGGTTTGGTTCTAGACCACTGCAGTGGAATAAATATTGCAATAAAGTGAGTCACAAATTTTTTGGTTGCCTCATACATGTAAAAGTTATGTTCATACTACACCGTGGTCTACCGTGTATTATGTCTACCATGGCATTATGTCTAAACAATCGACACAGTTTGATTAAAAGGTACTTGATTGCTAAAAATGCTCACAATGATCTAAGGCTTCAGCAAGCTATTATCTTTTGGGGTGAAGGATGGTCCGGTTTTGATTGTTTTTGTTTTTGAGACAGGGTCTTACTGTACACTCCAGGTTGGCCTTGAACTCACTGTGTAGTCCAGGTGATCCTCCAGCCTCATCCTCCTGAGTGGTGATTACCGGCGTGAACCACCACACCCAGCAGGCTTTGGTGTTGATGGCTGCTGACCAATCAGGGTGGTAACTGCTAAAGGTCAGGCGGCTGTGGCAATTTGTTAAAATGAGACAATGAGGTCTGCATGTGGGTCGATTTGTCCTTACATGGACTGTTTCTCTGCTGCTGTTTGATGACATTTTACCAGACAGGAATCTTTCAAAACTGGAGTCACTTGGGGCTGGGCGTGCAGCTCAGCGAGAGCACTTGTCTCACATGTGCAAGCCCCTGCGTTCCATGCCTAGCACCAGAATAAATGAGTCAGTCCTCATGAGCCCCACTGCTGCTTTACCAACTAAGTGTATGTAACATCCTAAATTCTTTTTTGTCATTTCAATGCAGTCCACACACCCTTACGAGAAGTAGATCCCATCTCGAGAAATCAGCCCCATTCTTAATCATTCAGAAGCAAGGTTTCGGTGTAAGATTGCAGCAACTCAGTCGAATCTTCAGCTTCCGTCCTTGATTCTCATTCTTTGCCATTTCCACTAATTTGCAGAAACCTCCTCCACCGGAGACTTGATCCCTCAAAGTCACCCATGAGGGGCTCCTGTTGACTTCTTCTCTTGAGTCATGGATGCTCCTAACAGGGCAGCAGCAGGAACCCCATGCTGATTTCATCGAACGTCTGGAGCAGAGCTCTCAGGTGACCGGGCACACTGTCCCCGGCAGGAGTGGTATTTGGAAAGGAATAGTATTTTGTTGAGCGGTAAGTCTCAACAGTGGGCTTAGAATACTTGGTAAACCACATTTTAAACAGAGGCACTGTCCCCTGGGTTCTGTTAGAGCTCAGCAGAGGGGACTGTACGCTCTGTTACACAGTCACACTGGTGAGCAAGCACTGGCTTCAGCCTACAGTCACTGCTGCGCTGTTCCCCATCATGAGAGCCTGCCTGTCCCTTGCAGCAGTTCTGCAGCCAGGTGTTGACTTCTCCCCCTTGACACGAGAGCCCGAGGCAGCATCGTCCTCCAAAACTGCTTCATCTGCACTGAGAATCTGAGGCTCGCTGTGGCCACCCCCACCGGTTACCTCAGCTTGAGCTTCTGCACAACCTGCTGCAGCTTCTCCACCATGCTCTCATGCCTCGCCTGCACTTCTGTGTTGTGGAGGTGGTGTCTTCCCTCAAGCCTCGGGAACCAACCTCTGCTCCAGACAAACCCCTCCCTGCAGTGTCCTCGCCTCTCTGGGCCTCCACAGAGCGGCAGAGCGCAGGGCCTGGCTCTGGCTCAGGAGGATGCTGTGGCTGACTCGATCTTCTGTGAAGACCACTACGACTTTCCCCATCAGCAGCACAGCTGTTCTGCTCCTTATCATTCATGTGTGTGCTGGGGCAGAACTTTCGATTTCCTTCAAGAATGTTTCCATTGCATTCAGAACTTGGCTGACTCTTTGACTTGGGAGGCCTTGCTCGACACACGCCTCTGCTTTTGACATGCCATCCTCTCTAAGCCTCCATGTTCCCCTTTGATTGAAAGAGAGGTGCAAGACTCTTCACTTAAACACTGTGGCCACTGTAAAGTTACTAATTGGCCTGACTTCAATATTGTTGTCTCAGAAGCCTGAGGAGAGGGAGCAGGATGGAGGAACCACACACAATATTTATCGCTAAGTTCAGTCTTATGTCCACAGCAGCCGGGAACACCAAAGAGCACTGATCACAGATCACCGTGACATATATAACAATGAAAGAGTTTGACACATTGCAAAAAATACCAAAACATGAGGCAGAGACACAAAGAGAACACATGGTGGTGGAGCACACACTAGCTGGCCATGGAGCTGCCACAAACATTCTTGTGTGGGAACAGCTATCTCTGTGGAGTGCAATAGGGCAAAGCACTACAAAAAATACTGACTAAACCAAGTAATGGAAGTCAGAATCATATATCTTTTTTAAAGTCAAAAGAATCCCAGTACTCAAGAGGCTGAGGCAGGAGGATCACATGAGTTTGGGGCCAGCCTTGGCTACAGAGTGAGTTCAAGGCCAGCCTGAACTGCATAGTGAAATTTTGTCTCTAAATAAATAAAGTCAAACAAAGACACCTCTACATTATCTGGGCAGGTTATTACCTTAACCATGATCTATAGGACCATCATAAAATACCAACTTTCAGATAAAAATACATTTCATAGTTACATATAAATTTTTTGTTTCATTTGCCATAAAGTCCTGTGTGACCGTGTCATCCTATCTTGAAGACTAGAAAATTGTTGCAGTGAATGGAAATACATTTCGGGTTACTTGAGCTAGTCCTGTGTTTGCAAAACCCCAAGAAAAACAAAGAGATAGCAGTTTGGTAGCCAAGCCTGTCTGGAAAGATCTAGGCTTGCCCAGCCTAAAAGTGTGTATCACTCATAATATGGGCTGTGTGTGCTGTATCTCAAACGCTGGGGACCAAAAGTGCTTCAAATTTCCAAATTGTTGGGGTTCTGGAATATTTGCGCAGACTTTACCAGTTGAGCATCCCAAATCTAACCAATGCTAAAAATCTTTTTGATTTTGGAGGATTTTCGAATTTTAGATTAGGATTGTCAACCTACAGGAGTTACTTCTGGGAGGTGAGACAGATGACAAGATACTTTCATGTTTTACATGTTTGCCTTGACTCTAGCTCCTTTTACTGAGAGCAGTAAAAGTCATTCTTAGCTCACAAGCTATGGTTTCTATATCTTATTCTGTGACTAGTAGACAAAATCAGAAGAAAAGGAAAAAGTCAGAAGTTTTGGGTTCAAGATTTCCCATTAACTTTTCTTTTTTGATGCTGATTTTTGAACCTAGGGCCCCAAGCATGCTCTGCTACTACGCTATACCCCAGCCCCTTCCAATAACTCTTGGTAGCATTTAAATACTGTACAGTTTACACATTGATGTGGGGCATATTAAATTCAAACCCATCCAAAGTACTGCTGTGGCTAGAAAACCTTCCAGGGATCACTGTTTCTTACTTGAGTAGGTGGTAGTGTTGAATTTTTTCTGGTATTGTTCTTTGAGTAGCAACTTCTCCTGAAAAGGCCATTCCAAGCGTAGCCTTTTCTCCACATTGGAAGGGAGGGACCTGGATTTGCAAAAATCTGCAAGTAGAAGAGAGAATTTAAAGAACCTGTTTTCACAGTAATAAAGTTGAAATCCTATGCACATATTTGATTAGATATTAAATTACTAAAACAGGATAGATTTCTAGTTACTAGGTATGACAGCACATGCCAAATTTTCTGACTAACCAACCACCATAAGAAAAAGCCAAAGAGAGGGTTTGCAAAGAAAACATCCCCTGGACACAAAACATCAGGCATGACTTCAGGTTATTTAACAATTCAAAAGGCTCCTCAGAAGCTTGAAATTACCAGGAGCCTAATGAAGAAAACATACTTCAGTTTTTGCATGGTTCACTTTCAAAATACACAGGCATTTGTTATGCACAAGCTATCTGTGCATAGTGGGATTTCCTCTTGCTGTAATGATGATAAGACACAATTTTCTTGGTGAGACTGGGGATTGATCCCAGGGCCTTAGCTCTGAACTATACCCTCAGTCTGATTGACTGATTGATTGATTTATAATTTTGAAACAGGGTCTCATTGTCAAAAAGTTGCCCAGGCTGGGCTCAAAATTGTAATCCTCCTGCCTCAGCCTCTCAGAGTACTGGGATTATATACAAACACCACCACATCCAACTTTTTGTTTGTTTTGTTTTTGTTTTTGAGACTAAGTCTTGCTATATAGTTCAGCCTGGCCTAGAACTCAGAATCCTCCGCCTCGGCATCCCAAATTCTGGGATTACAAGAGAGCACCACTATGTCAGGTTGGTTACTGACTTTTCTCCCTTTCAACTTGGTACCATGCAAACTTTCAGGCCCATAACACGTGCACTGGGAAACCACTGCCATCCTGCCTGGCAGCCTGCACTTCTTCATCACAAGACAGCAGGGCAGGCCAAGTGGCTGATGACTTCCTTTCTTGGAAGCTGCACACTGTGACTGCCCCACCCCGTGTCACAAAGGATGGTTCCAGGAACTTGGATAATCCCAGCTTGGACAGCTTCTGAGTAGGGACAATTTCCTGTCTGAACGTATGAGATCTTGGAAACATATCTGACAGGTGGGGAAGGGCCACGTCTAAGCAACTATCCCAACTTGTCCAAAGACAAGCCTTCTACCTTCTTCTGTTTTTCCCTGTGGACTTCTCTGCCAATTTTGGCCTAAACTTTGAATAACTGTTAAATACACCCTACCTGAAGAAAATAAACAGAAGGAAAATACATGATATATGGAGTAATTAAATACTACTCATTAATATGGATATTATAATTCAATGAGGTATACAATATACTTAGTAATTATTCAGAAAATGATTTAACTTCCATTTGATGTCTGATAGCACTGCTTAAAGACATAGGACACATCTTCCTGGCTCCCTAGGGTGGATTCTCAGGAAGGCCAGATCTGCAATATCAGAATCATCAGACAAGCTTGCAATGTCAAAATGTGAGGTTGGATGGAATCCAGAGAACCAAATAGTCACACTCTCCCCAGGTGATATGGAGAGGCAGTGAAGTTTGAGAAACACCTTCCAGAGGCTGGAGATTTAGCTCAGTGGTGCCACACCTGACTGGCAAGTGCAAGGGCCTGAGTATGATCCCTGGTACCAAGAAAAAAAAAAAAAAAGAAAGAAAGAAACATCTTCCAGTCCATCAAGTCTTGGAACCACTCTTAGAAGCAGAGTGATTCCCATACCCCCTCGTGAGATCTTCCCCCACATCCTGTCTCCATAACACACATGCTTCATTCTATGTGCCCTTGGCTGGAAAGACTCCTGAGTTTGATGTCTTCCTATCCATTTGCTTCCTCCACCAGCTCTGCCTTGGCTGTGACCCTGTTCTATTTATAGCACAGTCACTTCTGGGTTCCACCCAGCACACCTTACCTGGGAGGCGAACATCAGAGAAGAAACCTGCCCCCAAATTCCTTCTTCTGTAGCTGTCTCCACTCAACTGTGAAGCCCTTAATCTCTTATTGTTAGGTGTGAACAATAACACATTTCTGAAATATTCTCACAATGAGCACAATTAAATTAAAATATATAATCTTTAAGAAGTTTCACCTTGGTTGACTTGAGATCGCCAGCAACTCCTCTCTTCGAAGGTTGGTTCTCTCTTAGGATCAAAAATTAGAAAGTCTGTCTTGGTGCCACCAAATCTCAAGTATGCAGGAGCCAAACCTCTGGCCAAAGTCCGAAGCCTGGGGGAACTATTATGAAGATAAGCAGGGAAGTTAGTAATTTTTCCAAGGCAATTCAGTCAAACATGTTTACTTCCTTTTCTCTTGGAGGACCTGTTTCTTAACTGCCAGCTGTTGCTTTGCCTGAGGAGCCTGGAGAGAGGCGGATAAATTTAAGACATATTTATACATGGAAATACTAGGTTAAGTAATTGGACGTTGAACGTTGAGGGGGACTCAGAAGTTACTCTTGGAAAGTACCTTGGAAGATGGTAAAACCACTTGCTGAGATGAGGAATGGGTATAGATTGGAGGTGGAGATGAAGGAGGAAGGGGCAAAGGGGTTCAGTTTTTTAGAATTTGAGGCGCCAATGGGATACTGACACCAAGTTTCCACCAAGCCCTTGGCCACGTGCACCTGGAACTCAGGAGACACATCTAGGCTAGGGAGAGAGATGGCCAGTCCTCAGTTGCTACAGAAGCCAATGATTATGACCCCTAACACCCTTAAAGCTGGCACAAGGAACTTCCCTGGAGAGAGCTGTCTTGGCCGGGCATTGATTCTGGTCCTTAGCAATTAGATGTGTATGGTGATAGAGGAGATGCACTTGGGTTTGTGCAGCTGATATCTGTGAGCAGTTGACAGTTGGCAAAGAGGTTGGTGCTCTTTGGGAAGTGAAGGGAAAACCAGCACCTGGAAAAGGAGCTGTGGCATCCAAAGGTGGTGTGGGTTGGATACCTGAGGACCAGCGCCTGGTCCGCAGAGGTGTGGACTGGACTGTGCCAGACTGCTCCCCACCGAATTTCCTTGCCTTACTTCCTTCATGGCACTCACTACTCTGCACTGCCCTCTTGTGCCTCCTGGTTTACTGTCCACCCACCCCCTCCCCCAGCCAGAACTGTGAATGTCTGGCTTTTCAAAATCTCCCCGGGACTGAGACACAAGCCAGCACACAACTGGTGTTTAAAAAATATCTTTGAAGGGAATGAATCAGACCGGCCAGTATGATGAAAGGGCAAGGAGAGGCCAAAGATTGCTTTCTGGGCAACACTGAATTAAAACCCAATGCTATGGCTTTTGCCGCATAAAGGAAATCACATGCCTCAAAGTTTGCGTGTTAAGGACCTTTTTGTTTCTCTCTTTTGCAGTGGAGTATTTTCACGTTTTGAGAATACAATATTGATGCCCCCTGACAAAAACCAGATTTAATACAGCTGCAAAACTTGCCATAAAAAGAAATTGATCAGAGGTACAGTATTTCAATCATAAACAAGAAAAAGAAAGGGAAAAGTACGCAGCACCATGGTGACACAGAAATAACAAAAGAACGCATGAAAGCAGCTTCAGCCTTTCCAGTTTCAGACAGTTTGGTATGGGAAAACAAGAGTCTGCAGGTGTCTTTACCTTTTGTGTGCAATGGTAAGTTGTTTATCTTTGACACAAAAAGCAGAAGTGGTTTATTAAAATGCACTATTAAGTAATATTTTCCATTTCCAGATCTGGGGGCCACCCTGTGGGTTCCAAAGGGAGAAATTATGGTTGGCCTAAGTCAGGGTTGGAATTTTAGCAGAAAGAACAATGGGGCATAGGCTTGGTATTACCATCACAAGAGGGATTTGGATGATAAATCGAGAACCCCAAATCAAATGCAGAAGAAGTAGAGTGAAGAGGAAGCTGTTCAGTGGAGGTACTTTAAAAAACAGTTGTGGGGGCTGGGGATTTAGCACAGCAGTTCTGCCACCTGCCTCGAAAGCGCAAGGTCCTGAGTTCCATCTTCAATACCCAAAAAAAGCAGTTGTGAGGAGAACTTACTCTTGTCACTGAGGACAATGAGCTGTGGTCTAAGGGTGGGAGGCCTGCATGTAAAACTTTTGGAAGTGAAATGGCTGCACACCAGCTGGGAGTAGGCAGAGCCGTGCTGAAGTGCAGCGAGGCAATGTGCCGACCAGCCAGCTCCCGGGAGAGAGGTGCCTGGGTATGGGCATTTGACAGTTTCCACGCTGCAAATGCTCCTTCCATGGCCAGTTTCAAGATAGCAGTGTGATGCCCATCGATGCAGGAGGAGAAATGCACTCATCTACCAAACTTGTGTAAGCTGGCTCCATGCAAGACTGGGTGGAGATTACCAACTACGGTGGAGATTACCAACTATGGTGTTGATGAAGAAACAGAGAGACTCTTCATTTGGGTGGACTTGTAAGTCATCCAGGATGATGGCAAGACTCAGAGGTGATAGGAGAAGTAAGAGGGGAACAGAGAGCAATGACAAGGAGCATTGGATAAGAACTTCATGGTAGAGTCATGACAATCACCTCTAATAAGCATCAACTGAGTCCAAGTAGAGAGTTCCATGCATGTTACACAGATTTTTCCCTAGTCTCAAAACAGCTCAACGAGATGGGCGTTGTTAGGATCCTCACTTTACTGACAAGAGACCTGGACAAAACTAAGTGAACCTGCCCAAGGTAACGAGTCAAAGGGAGCTGGGCCATAGCAGTCTGCATTCAAATTAGTGAGCCAGCATCGCAAAGCTGCCCTAGGAATCAGGAAAAGGACCAGACCATGGCAGTATGTGCAGGCTGTACTCAAAAGAGTGACAAGGAAGAGGGTGTCTTCAGAGACATGCCACGAGTCAGCAGAGGACGAGCAAGGTCACCATGCAAAGGGCCCTGGACATGTAGAGGAAGGCTTGGGAACACCAAGAGCTCAGCCAGGCGTCAGACCCAGGATTGTTCGCAGTCCTTGGTCTCTCTTCATCCATCGCCATTCCTGCCAGCAGCAGGGGCATGGAGGATCTGTTGCTCTTCCCAACATCAGTTATGAAAATGTACTCTTCAAACTGATCATAAATGCTCTTCCAAATATGAAAAGCTATTTTGTCAATGAAGATAGCTGAATGTAATCGCTGAAAGTTACTAATGAATGTTTATCAAATTGACAAAAGAGATAAACTTTACTCAAGAAACTGAGCAAATCAGCACGAAAAGCCAGCAGGCCTGAATTGCTAACACTACTGCTGTGCAGCACCACACTCCCGCTGTGGTGCTATGGTTCCCACACCCAGGCTGTACTTCACGCCTGGCCTTGCACAAGGGAGATATGTTTGTCATGTGTGGAAAGGCACAGCCGCGCTCCCTAGAATGGCAGCCATCAGCTACATGAGGCCACCAAGCTCCTGAGCTGCAGTTAGTGCCCTAGGCACCCAAACACCAGGTATGCAAGAAGAAATACTGAATATATCATAAACATTTTATATTGATTACATGTTGAAATGATAATAGTTTGGATCTACTGTGATAAGCAAAATTATTAAAACATTTCACCCATTTCTTTTTAACTTTTTAAACATAGCTACTTGAAAATTTTAAATTACAGATGTGCCTAGCACATGAAGCTCACATTCTATTTCTATTTTGCTTTATATTTCTAGGGACAAGGCCTCTTGTGGTTCTGCACAAAGTCAGCCTAAGGAGGTAGTTTTTAAGTCCATTTGGGAAGAGAAATTAAAAAGGTGCTCTTCTAGCCAAGAGTGGTGGGGCACACCTGTAGTCCCAGCACTGGGGAGGCAGAAGCAGGAGGATCACTGTGAGTTCGAAGCCAGCCTGGGCTACATAGTGAGTTCAAGGCCAGCCTGAACTACATAGTGAGACCCAGTTTCAAAAAAAAAAAAAAATGCTCTTCTTCAATTCTAAATTGTTTGATCACTGGCATTTAAGTTTTGCATACTCTGTGTTCTCTGGAAACAAATGTAAAACCAGGCCATTTGACTAGATTTGCTTAGCCTTCCTGTCATATTCCTTGGGGGTTTGAGCCTGATCCTCCTACCCTCAAGCCAGTGCTTCTTTTCATTACATCAGTCACTTGAGTTCTTTCCAGATGATCTTTTTTCTTATGTACCTTATCCTATTTCCTTTTAAAAATAAATCTGCTTTGCTTTCTTTTGGGTACAGTGTCCCTGTGAGCAGAGTGTGGTTCTAGACTCTGCTTTCATTTGCTGCCTGGCTGACAGTGGCCAAGTTATTTAGTCTCCCTGAGCTCCAGTTTCTTCATTTTAAAAATGTGTAACAGTATGATCTATAGGGTTGTAACAAAGACTGAATGCATTCACAACTGAGAGGAGTTTCCAACAGGGCCTGGCAAGAGACACAGGCTCAGGAACCATCAATATTTGCTTTATCCTCATCATCCTTATTACTTCAGGACTGCCGTCTCCACCCATACATCTTTGCTTTTGGGGACCTGAGATAAACCCATCTCACTTTCCTCTGTGGTGGACAGACATTAAGCTTAGTGTGGCCTCCCAGGGTGGCTAGGCGATCCCACAACTGTGCTACCACCCTGGGGAGATGGACTCTGCCCTAATTTTGCAGCGAAGTCTTAGATCAGGAGAGGAAGTCCTTCCCTCCTCTGTCTAGATGAGAGTAGGGCAGACAGGAGCTTGTGGATGCCTTGGAGAGCAGGTGTGAATGGTCCCCCAGAGGAAGGGCTTCAAATGACCAGGGACCAGTCCTGGAGAGAACCCTGCAGGGGCAGTAAGCCAAAAGGAAAAGCAAAACAGACAAAACAAAACAAGAGACACTTGTGTCTACTCCCTGCCCTGCTCTCTGTCATCCTTGGTTCCCTCTGGTCTTTAACAAACACATGGGTGCAGGAGGGAGGAAAGGCCTGGACACATGTTAGGGCACTAAAGGCATCATCCTCACTACCCTGTAGACTAGCAGGTCCTTGTGTTCAGGGTGGGTGTGAGTTCACTGGGGTGGACTCGACTGCAGAGTGATTGGGCCTGAACCCTGAAAGCCTTACTGTAGGTGTTTGTTTTGCACCTGCTTCTCCACAGAGGTCTTTCCTGGGGGTCAGAAGCATACACGGCCTGCACCCAAAGAATCACATTTCAGTCGATGGACATCTATTCCATCCCTGTTTTCAGGAAGACAACCCTCCTGAAACAGCTAGGGTCTTCCTCCCATCCCCCAACCACTCTGATCACCCTCCCGAACCAGCGGTCTATCCCTAAGGCCCAGTAGGAAATTCTCTCTCCTGCCACAGGGAAGGGATAGTATGATGATCAAAAGAACCAGAAAAGTGGCAAATAGTATCAAACACTCATCATTTCCCAGGAAGAAACGATCAGGCTAAACTCTAAACACTGAGTCAAACTCTCTGCCAAGCATTTATTACCCCATCAAAACCTCTACATCTCTCAAGGGCAGACGAAAGTGCGCTCTGCTAGGGGAGGCTGAGCAACCTGTAAAATCAAGCCACCCAGCCCTACCATGCCACAGCTGGGGTCAGGTGGGTGGTCTGACTGCGCACAGCTGCCTGTGAGTAAGGGACAGTGACTTGCGAGGTAGAGGCTGTCCGATGCAGTCCTCCCTGGAGGCTCGTGGCCTGGGTGACCTCGCATTGTCCCTGCAGCTCCTCATTCGGGGTCAGTCTACACTGATGAGGTGGGAGCCACAAACCTGCCACTTGGCTGATAAAGCAGGGGCCACACGTGGCAGCCTCATTTTGGGGAGACAGCGTTCTCCTGGGGCTCTGTGAGTCACTGATGTAGTCTCCTGGGTCTCACTTATCTAATATTCAGATTTCTGAAAGAATTCAGAGAAATAACACTTACTCTCCTTTGATGCCCTTTCAACCTAACTTCTTCTTTTTAACAAAGTCATCCTAATAGTTTAAGGGAGGGCACTTGATCCTACCCTTTGGATGTGTCCCACACACAGTCCGAAGCTCCCAGCCTTCGGCAGCACTTGCCCCGGTTATCTCTCCCTGACCAGGTGGTGTGCAGGTGGCAGTTTCTTTGCCAAATTTTCCCTTAATGTGCTTAGCTGGCGGTCAGCCAACGCGTGCCGAATGAATGAAGAAAGGGGAAACTGTTTGGAGCTGGCTGGAGGGGGATTGGTGTGGGCAGCGTTCACATCCGAGTTAAAGTTGTTTCACTGCAGAGGAGAGAGGAACGGCTGGTCAGGAGCACAGGGCAGGGCACAGGGCAGACCGGGAGGACAGTGCTTACCCCAAGAAGGCGAGAAAGCGCGGGTCGGTGGCCAGGTTGGCGTCGATGGTGAAAGATAGGAAGGCGGGGCTCACGGAGCGCAGCGGCCGCTCAGTGACCAAGTCCAGCGGCACTTCGTCCCCGGCCTGCGCGGGACCGATCGGCCGGAGGAGCAGCAGGAACAGCAGGAGCGGCGGCGGCATCGCGGACACCTGACTGCCACCACGCCGCGCTTCCAGCCTACTGTGCCCCGCGCCTCAGCGCCTTCTTCTCCCTCCATCCCGCCCCGCCCCCTCGTCACTCCCATTTCCTCCGGTCCCGCCCCAGGCTGTCACGTTCGCCTACAAAACCGGCCGCACCCATCTAAAGGGGGCAGGGATGGCCGGGATCCAGCCCCGGGAGAAGCCCTTGGCAGACTGCCCTAAAACCCTTGGCTGTTACTTGAGCCTCCCAAGAGCTGAATAATCTTGTAACCCCGGTGTCAGAGAGAGGTTTCTCAGGTTATCTCAGGGTTTTTTCCCATTAAACCTATTGGTACATTTTAGGTATAAAATACATTTACATACATCCTTGGGATCTTGTACCTTTACATGAGTATCTTGGTTCTTATTTTTTCCCCTTCCCCTGCCCTCCCTTCACCCCCACCACCCTTCCCTATTTGCAAAGACTTTGTTTCCATTTTTTTCCTTTTCTCATATTTTTTCTTTTTCCTTCGTTCCTTTCCCCTACCCCTCCCACTTCCCCTGCTCCTTTAGACCTTTTCTTCCTGTTACATAATATCAATTATACATTTTTAAAATTACAATATCAAGATCTAGGAGACATTACCACAGATTTTACAGAATTTAAAAGGTTATAGAAAGCATATTACAAAAATCTTTTTTGAAA